AGTGGTAGTAGAAGTGGTAGTAGCAGTAGTAGTGGCAGTGGCAGTGGCAGTAGTAGTGGTAGTGGTAGTGGCAGTGGCAGTGGCAGTGGCAGTAGTAGTGGTAGTGGTAGTGGCAGTGGTTGTGGCAGTGACAGTGACAGTGGCAGTGACAGTGACAGTGACAGTGGGAGTGGTAGTGCTAGTGGTAGTGGTAGCCGCTCTATCGGATCCGATCTTGTTTCTTTCCGAGAAGTGGAAGCGGGAGGAGGGGAGGAGGGCTCATTTCCCCAGAAGTGGCTGGCAACCCAGCCTAGCTCCATATTTATGTTATTGCGAACAAGCCACCTGGTAGACATTTCTGTCCTATAGCAGTATGCAGCTGTAGTAACCAGAGTTATAACCTCGACGCCTGTTGGAAGAGCTTGGATATTTTATCGGGGTCACCGGTTGAAAAAGATGCAGTATTACTACAGTTTAGGTATGTCTAATAAACCTCACTCGTCTTTTGTGATGAGTTTCTTGTCTTTGCTTCTCTCAGATTTCATCTCTGCTTTCTGAAGGTCTTGCTAAAATCAAGGTCTTCGAACTTTAAGAAACAATAACGTGACAATCTTGTTCCGACTGTCCTTCCTATCGTAGAAATATTGCCACGGCAGTGAATAGTGACGTTACTTACCAAGTGTTTTTGTCGTTGTATCGTTCGAGGTGAAAATCCTTCTCATATTAAAGGAGCTGTATCGCGCTTGTCTAGTTTATTGGTTTGATATTATCTATGACGCTACATAAACTTGACGTTAGTAATGATTTTCCTTGAAAAGACCAATTAACAGCTTCACATCAAACAAATATCTCACCCAAAGCATTGTATCAAACGTTACAAACAACAAAAACGAACTTTGAAAAACTGTTAAATTCACACTCGTCTTCAAAACAGCAATTGCAATCCGTTTTTATCTTCTTCACATTTATCCATCAGTTCCTCCTTTTGTATATGTTGTTTTTTCATATCAATCTTAATGTTTTGAGGCTTTAATTCGATTTTTTACTTATTTGGTGAGTAGTGTGTAAGAGCTGCTCGTAAGGTCTCCTCTATTCGGTCGCAGGAAATTATGACGTCATTCTTTCAATTGTTTTCATTGTGAAAATAAAACAATCAGCATGTCACGAACGTGGGACAAAGAAAAAGCCTGAGTCCCCGACAGGATTCGAACCTATGACCTCCCAAACACCGGGCGGGCGCTCTATCCACTTGAGCTACGGAGAACCCATGGAGAGCAAGGCCATATACTAGGTACATATTTGGCACGCATTAACATTATAATTATTAGTATTGTTTGGGGTCAGATTTAGGCACCATTGGTGACTTCTCTTCCGTGCAGCTGCTACATGATCCAATATTGGTGGAGGTTTTCTCAGTTTGAATGATGTTAAATTTCGTGCCACGGCTCCGGATACTATAAGCCAGTGTTCAACCTAGTTTTCAGGGTAAATACCCTGGCAAAAAGTTAACCCTAATGAAACTTCAAAGGGGGCTTTTTCTTCCCTCATTTCCCTCGCACACTGTTTAGGTAAGTAATCACCTTACTTTAACATCGTTGCAGATAAATTTCTATCACGCGTACGTAGAGCCATTCTTTCGGGATACGTACATCAAGTGTGGCATTTCCACGCGTAGATAACCAAGCTTAGCCTGAGAAAACAACCGACATTTCGCGACGCCAACACCGGTTTCCCCGTGAAATGACGTCTGAGAAACGAGCGCAGAAACTCCATACTGATGAGCCGTCACTTCCCTGATCTGGGTAGTACTTCTGACTGTTTGAAAATTTGCTTCAACCAATGAGAAGTACTACCCAGATCTGGATGGCGACGAAAATAAAATCCATCCCCGGTGGCAGCTGAAGTACCTCTCACTACGGGGGTGTGAGCGCTCATAGAGTCAAATACCTTGTACAAAACTGGTGTATGTGTAAAGTACTAACGGTAGTTGATAAAAGATCAGCTCTGGATTTTAGGAAGTAAAGCAGGGATGGTGGAAAGGGCTAAAAAGAATTGTGAACAGGCTTGTTCCCATTGGCTCCTAGGAGAACTTTGATGAGAACGCAGGCGTCTAGATATCAAGAACCACGCTTATGGATAACGTAGTTTTCTCTATATTTGTCATCAAGTCTTTATCTTTACTACGCAAAACAAAACAAAAAAAAAGACATTCATGCCATGTTTAACCGTAAGGATAATTTTTCGTAGTTTTTATCTGTCGATTTCCCTAATTTGAGTAATTGTAATGCTTGAACCTGGCGTTTCGACTTTGTTGTAAACGTAATTCTTCGATTCCGAATCGACCGGAGTAAACGTGGCACTAACTTTTATAAGACCAAATATATGGATTGTGGTTGTCGTTGCAAAGAAAATAGATTTAGAGTCGCGTTTAAGGCAAACGGCAAACATTAGACCCCAGGCGATATTTTCTTGAATTAGGAAATGAACAGATACAAACTGTACATAATAATTGTTATGGATTACACTGATCGACATGAATTTCAAAGTACTAACGTTTTTGTGTAGAGTACAGCAAGTAGACAACAATTTAATCGGCTACTGACCGTGAATGTGATTATAAATCTCTTTAATTTAGAATGATTTTTTTTGTTAAAGAGCAAGTAGATAATTATCAGGAGGACCCTTAACAACGAAAGGATAAACAAAGTGTTCGTCGTTGAATTTATTATCTCAAATATACCTTATTCTTAAAAACCTGGTGAGATTACATATATACAAATTATAATAAAACCTCCATGTGCGACCTTTTCGGATTCGCGTCGTGCTGTTCAAACTACTAAAATTAGTTTTCTATTCAAAGCACTACTGAAAACTGGACCACCAAATCTTGGCGCTTTATATAGGTCATGTATATACAGATTACAATGAAACCTCCATGTGCGACCTTCTCGGATACGCGACATACTTTTCAAACTACTAAAATAGGTGTTCCTACTCAAAACACTACTGAAAACTGGACCACCAAATCTTGGCATTTTATATACTTTAGATTACATATGTACAGATTACAATGAAACCTCCATGTGCGACCTTCTCGGATTCGCGACATGTTGTTCAAACTCAGACTAAGATTAGTTTTAATACTTAAAGCACTACTGAAAACTGGACCACCAAGTCTTGGCATTTTATATAGATCACGTACATGTATATACAGATTACAATGAAACCCCCATGTGCGACCTTCTCGGATTCGCGACATGCTGTTCCTACTCAAAGCACTACTGAAAACTGGACCACCAAATCTTTGCTTTTTAGGTAGATTATACTTAAAGCAAGTACTATATCACCTGTTCTCAGGCATCAACATTATACAATGAAATAAACTTTAGTTTACAACTGTGATGACTAGTTTGGAGTTTGGACAAGGTTGCAAAATTACTACTTCTATGTTCACGGAAAGATTGATTCTAAAATATATACAATTCTACTAAACTATAAACCTTGCAGTGTTGTTTGCATTTGCACTTCAATTTGCATTAAGAATCTCGTTTACGTGAGAAGTATTTTGTAGTTGTAGCCCCTAGGGACTAATTAAGAAAGTAAGTTAACAAATAACCTTAATAGATAGGGAAATGTTATTCGTGTCGCAATTACAGTTGTATCATTGTCCGAGCTACCGATGTACACTTTTACAAGGCTGGTGATCAGCACTTTTGCAAGACATTTTAGAGATTAGAGTATTCAAGGTACCTACACTCACACACACACCCACGCACAGACTAAAATCAGTGGGAAAAATAATTAAGTCGACAAACATGAGCGGCTGGGCCAAGAAAGTCAGTTCTCTTTTGAATTCTTCTAGTCTGGGTTATGTTCGTATGCTGAAGAGGTTGACCTTTACATTTTCCACCACGAACTACCTCATTGGAATTCTGCGGAAGGGCTGTTTTGTTTTTCCATGGTGTGTCGTTAGTGTAATACCTGCAACAGTAATGTATAGGAAACATAAAAATTAGTAAAACACATATATTCATTACAAAAGACTTCAGCTGAGGTAGATGGCATTTAGGTTCATTTTACATGGAAGAGGGATCCTCCGGCTTTATTGTCACGGAAGAGGTTTAATTACTTATTTAAATTTATCTCACCGCTAAAACTTTCCAATTATTGGCATCATAAATGAAAAACAGGGTGCACAGCTAAAATAGGTTTGAAACTTCTTTCCTTGATGACCTCTCGAATCTCAGTCTTTCCTCTTTGGTCCAAGTTTAGAGCCAGTGTACTGCTGTACTTCAGTCAAAGTCCGTGAAAAGCCCTCTAGTTACAGTCAAAACTCCATACACAGTCCACAATTTGTAGTTTTCGGGGTTTTCGATCAGTTTTCAGATCTAGATCTCCGCCATAATATTTTTATTCCGAAACAATATTCAATTATTTGTGCTTCATATATAAGGAAAAGAGAAAAGATTTAAAATACGGGGCTTTAGTGTTTTTGTTTTTAAATGCAAAGCCTCACATATGCATAGGTTGTGATTTTGACTGATAAATACCGAAGTGTGGTCAAATAATTGTGGTGTTTACATATATACATACATTTTTTTTGTGTTTTGAGGTAAAAGTACAATTATAACATGCCCGCGGGTAGGCGGGTCATGTTTACAGGAAAAAAAAAATACAACTTAATACATCTAAAAGTAACATTAGTCGACGAAGAAAAAAAAGAAATGATCTTAACTATAGCCTAACAACAAATACACATATGCGATAACGCGGAGCGTTAGCTGAAGCGTCCGGTCAGTATTGTTTAGTATCTTCGATGTTAAAAAAACGGTTGATTGATATTTTACCTCAGTCATTGTAAAAGCTGACTTCAGATTTAGTCAACAATGTGGCTTTTAAGTGTAAATACTGCTTTTTATTTAGTACTTAAAAGTACATAATGTAAAGTTGATAAAACTGCAATACAAAAAGACCTGGCAGACTCAGTTCTTATGGCCCTTATTATTGGAAAGCAATTACCTTCACTTTACTTTTAATTCTTCACCAAAGTGGAATGACACGTCATCCCCAATCAGCATGAAAGGTGCCCACTGCCTCACTTCAGAGAAACCGTTATTTCGCATCCACTTCATGGCCCGGTGAAGACATTCACTTGCACTTTCTCCTTGGACAAGGTTTTCGTAGAATCTTCTCATGAACTGCTCTGTTGCATCGTCTTGTAAGGCCCACAATGCCACCATTACTGAGCGTGCACCCGATCCTAAGAATGCTCGAGCGATTCCAACAACGCCTTCTGTTTTGATCTGTCCACGTGCGGTATGGCAACAGCTAAGGACCACCAGTTTGGCGGTTAGTCTAACTTGTGAGATGTCGGCCATTGAGAGTAAGTAGTCTTGTTCATGTGGAATCCCCATAGTGGAGTCGGGAGGGGT